TTTCTTTGACTGCTGTATCTATTTTTTCAATTGTGTCTTGCACACCTGAGAGTCTCTGCTGTTGGTGATGCTTGTGTCTGTATTTTCTGTTCTCTTCCCTAAGTTTTCCATCTCCAGGATTGCCTCAGGTTGTGTTTTCTTTGTTGCTTCTATTTCCATTTTTAGGTTTTGGAGAGTTTTATTCATTTCCTTCTCCGGTTTGCATTTTCCTGTATTTTTTTTTAAGGGATTTATTAAATTCCTTCAACTGTTTGTATTTTCCTGCATTTCTTGGATGGGTTTATTTTCCTCTTTTAAGTCCCCCATAATTTTCATAACCTCAGTTTTAAGATCTTTTTTTTTTTTTTTTTTTTCTTCAGGTTTTATAGTATTTTCCGGGCTTTCTGTGGTTGCATAGTTGGGTTCCAGTGGTGTCATATGGCCCCGGGATTTGTTGCTTGTGTTCTTATACTGACCTCTAGCCATGTCTCTGGTGTTAGCAGGACTGGTGGTTTCTAATGGTAGTAGATCTCTGGGGTTGTAGGTAAAGCTTGTGGTCCCAGATTGCAGCAGTTCTCTGGCCTGTGTGGTAGTAGGTCTTCAGGTATATAGGGAGAACTGGTAGGCTCTGGTGGCTATTGCTCTCTGCGATTGCAGGTGGAAATGGGCCTGGTATGCCTTGATAGCTCCCTGATTCTGATGGTTCCTGATGGGTATCTTTCTCTGTTGCTCCCTGATGGCTGCTGGTCTCTGCTGCTCGCTGATGGCTCCTGCTGCTTCCGAACAGGTTGCAGTTGGGGCCTGGAAATTGTGCTAGCCAGGGAACTACTACTCCCTGATGGGTGCTGGTCTCAGGGTTTGGAGTAGGTAGCAGGAAATGGCTTCAGTCTGGGAACTGGGGTGTGGGGTCCACTGGGGAAGTAGAGCACATAGGGCCCTGGGAAGTTCTTGCTGCTGCTGATGGCAGCCTTTTAGAGGCTAGGAGCTGGGGAGTGGTTTCTTACCTGCTGTTCCATGATCAGTGTTGGTCTTTGGGGCCACAGGTCAGGGTAGGTCTCAGGAGATGGTGCTAGATGGGGAACCTGGGTAAGGGGCCCACCAGGGAAGTGGAGTTCAGAGGGCCCTGGGCAGACCATGCCACTGCTGCTGCTAGGCTCTGGCAGACTAGTGACTGGGGGAGGGTCCTCACCTGTTGCTCACTGATAGATGCTGGTCTCTGGTCAAGGAAGCAGACTTAATAAGTGTCATACAAAATGACACTAACAATAAAGATAATAAACCACAGTTTTTGCAAGTTCATGAAACCTCATTACTACAATTGGAGTCACTGACAAATTCAATTCATGTGACGTTTAACACTTTACTTGGAAGTGTGGGTGAGAAATGAGGAGCTAGTCCTCAGAAGGGGCCTCGAGAAGAGTTTGGAGCAGTAGTTGTTATTGTTTAGCTTACTGCTTGGGTGGTGGCTCATGGGTGTGTGACTTAATTTGGATGCTGAGTATCCCTTGATGGTTTGTGTGTTAAGGGCTTGGCCTTGGGTTGTACTGGTAGGTAGAAGAATCCTTAGGAGGGCCTTCCATGTTGGAGTCAAGTCATCAATATGGATTGGAGGACTCCAGTGTTTTTCTTCTGCTTCCTGACTGATAAGGTTTTCTCCCTACATACTCCCACCATGATGTCTTTCCTCTCTAGAGGCTGCAAGAGATGGACGAAAGTCAAGCTTTTCTGTATTTGTTTGTCACATCAGGCTACACATCTTCTTTTTGTCCTGGAACTCTCTCTCACCAGATAACTGTGCAGTGGGATTCATTCATTTGGTCAGCGAATGAATAAATTGCTTTATATGGGTTCTCTATAAATTTCAGAAAAAAAAAGGCAAATGCAAATATTGCAAGAACAGTGCATACCTCCCATCTTCTTTAAGCCCATATAACAATAAGGCTCAGGCTCTTTATGCTATTTGTTTTGGGATCAAACCAATGATCTTTTAAAAAGAGCAGTTTCAGGTTCATAGCAAATATAGTGACAAGTACAGACATTTCTTTTGTATTACCTATGTCTGCCCGCCTCTCTCTCTGTCAACACACTTCATCCACATGACCTTCTTTTCAAAGTCAAGAACCCAACGGCAGCACATAGTCACGCAGAATCCAGTTTAGACTGAGGTCCACTCTTAGTGTTATTCCTTCGGTGGTTTAGCCAGACAGATGTATGGTGGCATGTGAGTAACTGATTACATGGGCTAGCCATTCGTGTGGTGACCAAGGAAAAAATGAACGAGGATTAAGAGGGATCTGCAAGCAGCTGCTGTCATGGAGGACATAACCCCAGAAAAGAGCCCAAAGGTGAGCTCAGACACCATTACCTCCCCGAAGAACCAAGCTGACATGGGCAGGCTCTGGCGTGTCCACCATCCACCTGAAGACATGGAAGGTCGAGAAACAGATGTGCCAGTCTCAGTGTGACAGCATGCGGTCTCTGCCTTAAGGATTTTGTTTTGTTTGACCTGTGTGCTGGTTACAACCTTATGGAGAGCAAGGGAGAAAGGCAGGGAGAACTAGCTTCAGTCCTGTCGCTGCCAGGAATTTCCATGCAAGCCAGCTGGTGTCAGGGCTCGCGTGTTATTAACTCTCACAAGGAGCCCTAAGAATCTCAAGCTGTCTGGTGGGGTTATGGATAGGCAGGATCAGAATGGAGCAGCAGCGCCCTCTGCAGGCGATGTAATCTTCACTCCTCTTCTACTCTTCTCTCAGCTCTTCTCAGGCAGCTGTTTCCGGAGTCTTAACTCTAGCTTATTGCTCAACACATATTGAGGGCTGCATTCAAAGCCTAGGTTTCTGCCCTGACAGGAGTGTCTAAGGTAGCCTTACACAGCAGTCCTTCATTATTTAAATAAAAAATTCTTGAAAATATCCAGGCCCTTAAGAGTTAAAGCAACATTCTAGCGATGAAACTGTAAGTTGGAGGCTGGGCAACAGAAGGACCATCTGGACACTGAGAGGGGCCTACAAAGCAACCTGGAGTCATCAGCCCTAGTCCTGGGATGGTGTACCATGGGATATTTCACCTGGCCTCAGGGCAGTGTAATCTAGATGTAAAAAGAAAAAAAAAATCCTCTCATTAATCTTTTCTGGCTTCCTACTTCCCAGTGCCTCTGCTTTGTTAATTCCTCCCCTGTACAGCAGAACACTTTTTGAGATCCTGGCTCTGTACCAGTCTGTGAGGTTGTCCAACTGGAGATGTCGTGTGGTCTCTGACATGGGAGGTAAGCGATGAAATGGCGTGGCAGGCGGCTGATACTATCAATGGCATGTTGGCCCAGTTTATAGAGTAGCCCCAAGTAGGAAAGAAAGGCTTCTTGGATGTGCTTGGTTTGCAAAATAATCTGTCCACCCATGCTCTTTGCCATTTTCTCAGACTGATCAGAATGCGAACATACATACACATTGCATTCTCCTAGGGTAATGTATTGTGAGGAAGGCAAAAGCAGTGTTACCTCACTTTCGGATAATGTGGGTTGGATTCTTGCTTCCAAGGTTGGGTTCAAACGCTTTCCTCCAGGGGAGAGAATTAGATGGCATTTTTTTTTTCTTTCAAAATACCAGTGTCACATCTTTTGAATCTAAAGCTAGTTTTGTTTGACTCCATACTTTTTTTTTGCTTCACACCTAGTCTTGATATAGCAGTAATCTCAGACTGACCTGCATTTTGCCAGGTGGCCCAACTTGCCAATAAACTTGTGCCACTCTGGTCTCCCTCCCAAGGGCTAGAATTGCAGGTGTATGAGAACACATGCGGTACTCACTCTGTCTTAAATGGAACCAATTGGCAGCGATAAAGACATAGGGTATTTTTTTTTTTTTTAAATCTGAGTTTAACATCTTGTTGCAAACACCTGCCAACATGGAGCTGGCTTTTCCAAACGAGGCAATAGTCCCTAGCTGAAATGGTGCCGGACACCTGTGACATAGCCCAGCCCAGCCTTTGTTTCTGGTGCCGATCCCCAGGGCAGGCAGCTGTTTCTCACTCACTTCCTTCTGTATGCCATTTCTATTACTGGCATCTCACTGGAAATGCAGAGTTCTCTGGGCTCTTCCTGAGAGAAAAAAGTTAGGCTCTGTGGCGGCAGTGATTCTTAAGGCTGGGGACCTGTGACACCCTGAGCTGATCAGGAGAAGTCTCACTAGGGCTAGGCTTTTGGGATGGGCTCCTGGGGTCAGGAGGGCCGGTTGCCTTGTCAGGGGAACCACACAGGTTGGAACTGGGAATGCTGGGTGGGAACCCCAGAGGACTGCTCAGCCTCTGCTGTCTTGAAATGGGACCTTTTCTGAGGGGCACAAGATAAAAGGTTGATGGGGATTCTGGGAAAGTGAGTGGGTGGGTGGTACTGTCTGAAGTTTCAGCTAGATAAGTGAAAATAATAGTTTTGGTTTTGTTTTTTTGGAATCAGAATGCTGCCTTAAACACCTTTGTTAATGTGAAATATCCACCAGCCCCTTGTGTCTTGAGGTTTTGTTTCACAAGAGCCGCAGTACCCTTTTGGATTGTCTGGTTGTCAATGAACTTATTTATCCACTTCATTCACTCATTTATTAGCTACTGGAGCGTCTACCATGGCCATGGTGAAGGGTGAGCAATGGTGAACACACTGTAGCCCCAAGTCATTCCTGTCCTTTCTGGAGTCCTGGATGAGGATCTGGGGTGTAACAGATATTGACTGGGGACAAAAAGTTTAGGGCTTTCATCTCAAGCCTGTTTCAACTCCTGACCAAAATTTGACCAAGCACTTAACCATTCTGGCCTTCACTTTCCGTATGTATAAAACAGGGTTAAATTGTCTTTGCATCTAATTCTGTTCCAGTTGCATTTACTTATTTTGAGCTCACATACAAATAAAGAGTTAAATTATAAAGAATGTTCTGGACCTTGGGTCAGGAGAGAGAAAGAGGCCAGTGACCATCCTGTCATAGCAGTTGATAGCACTGTAAACCTAGCACTTACTGTGACCACCCACAGACAAACGACAGCCAGTTCTTGCAAGAGCATTGTGCAGTTGGGGTAATGGGTTTATTATGTTTATATACAGACAAGCATTTATTGACGTTTTGTCAAAAGTAAGGAATGAGGCAACAGAATGATTTCAGCATGATGACAAGATAGCTGCAACAGACCAAGCTTCAAGACTCAAAAGAACACAGATCCCTGAAACCACGGCTTTCAGGAAGCGTAGTTCTCCAGATCATGAGGGCAACTACACAGCACAAGCAGCACGTGACAACAGACACCAATGATGAAGCAGTTGTTCACGGGGCTGGAGCAGGCTGCCGGGGGCCTGGGGTCATTGCTGGGAAAGAGCTTCAAAATCGCATAAATCCCCCATATCTCTTTTCTATCTCAGGAACTTCCTTAGAGTAACTTTCTCCTTCTTCATCGGATGGCAGAGACTCAGCGAAGCGTTTCAGGAAACCTCCATACCTCTTCTGGTAGTCCATCCACCACTCTGGACGGCCCACCCTTCTCATGAAGCCCCCGTAGCGCTTCTGCAGCTCTTTCGCTTCATCTTCCAGCTGGGGGCTTCTCTTGAGGCCTCTCATGAAGCCGCCATACCTCTTGCTCACGCCGTCATCATCGCTGTCGGTGCTCTCCTGGTGGTGGCTCTCTTTGGCACGGCTGTCTCCTGTTCCCAGCAGCTCTTTCAGCAGGTTGGAGGAGTTGGCCAGTGAGTCTCCCTCATCTGCATCCTTCTTCATGAAGCCACCATACCTCTTGGCAAGATTCTCACCTCCGTTCGCTTCTTCTTCTGGCTCCACGGGATAAAGCTCATCCATCTTCTTCATGAAGCCTCCATACCTTTTCATGAACCCTCCGTACTTCTTGGCTAGCAAGGGGCCGTCATCCTGTTTGCTGCTGTCTTTGAACATTTCGATGTTATCCCAAGGGAACTCAGGCCTGGACACTTGCAGGAGATCCTTGCAGGTCTCCCAGATTTTGATGGAGGGCAGTTGCCCTTCGCATTCCAGGGTGCAAGCCTGTGAAGACAAGGTGAAGAATGGTTAAAAGAGACCCTGTTATCTGCCACAGAGAAAGGCCACCTCCACTCTCTCAAAGCGATCTCTCTAACTGAACTAGCAATGAACCAGGAGCACTGGCAAAAAGGAGGGAGAGGGCAATAGAGTCTTGTTAGAGAACTTATGCTACATGCTGCCATCCCAGTGTTTCAAGGGATACATCCTTGATTCTCATTCCTGTGGCTGCCTGCAGAAGCCAATCCCACCACACTGTCTCCTTCCGAAGATGCTATCTTGTTTGAGACTTTTTCATCCCCAAGGGAAAAATTTCTGTATATATGATTAGGGATATTTCCTAAAATTTCCCTCCGTACCTATGTCTCAGAAAGACAACCTTTATTAATGAGACATATGAGATTTACTAACGAGTGCTCCGTATCACGGTCAGACTCATTCTCCCTGAAAAAACAAACCCTACAATTTTAAAAGAAGTTTAAAGAGAAAGCCATTCAAAACACTACAACACACTTATGTGTTATGAATTATTTAAATCCCGATGTAATGACTGGTTAAAAATTAAGATGTTTTGATCCTCTGCTTTTTTCTTGGCTGATTAAAGCAGACCTTCATCATTTTAAACCAGAGGCTGCATATTCCTTAAAGGCAAATGCACAGATTATTCATATTATTTTCTTCAGATTAAAGTGCATGAAGCACCTTTTCCAATATAGTCATATTCTTTAATAAAGGAGGAATTAGCATTATGTAATCACTACTTTCTTATTATAGAATAATTAAACTCAAGCCATGATAAACTTTAAGCTATATATCTTAAATGACCATGTTCAGACTATTTTTTTATTTAAATGCTTGCCTACAATAAAACTAACTATTGAAACTTAGATAATGAAAACTAACTAATGAAAATTAGATAACAGTACAAAATCCTGTGACGTTCCTAAGCATTTCAGGGGCATCACAACTTTCTGAAATCTCCTTACAGACTCCAGTATACTGTTCCTTGATTTAGACAGAAAGTCCACGATCTTTCTTGCCACTTACAATTTCATTTGTCTATATTAAATACACACATTATTTTCACAACAGAAGTCTTTTATTCATGCAACAAAATCTTCTGCAAACATAGTTAGCCAACTCTCAAGGTTATTTTAGCTTTTTGTATATGAAAATAATTAAATATATATGAGTATGTAAAGACTAAAGAGAAACTAATTAAAATAATTTCATTTTATTCTTGAAAAATATATGATTAAAGGCTTAAGATGTTCAAGTGGCAATAGATTTTCTCTTTAAAAATGTATTTCCATGATCTCTTTGCCAAAATCAATGTTATTCACGTAGCTTCAGAGGCCCTTGACACACACCAAGTTCTGTGGTCTAGAGCACCCTGAATGGTGTCTTTTAGACAGCTGTCAAGGCATGCCCTTTCCTCTTGGTACCCATTACACTGTCTCATGGTAGAGTATGGTAAACATTTACTAACTTACTACCTACCTTTGGCTGGGGAACCTCATTTTGCCCATAAATTCTAGCTAAAAATATTTCAGAACTGCCATCATTTTAACAATATTTGAGCATTAACTTACATCTCTGTCAGTGAGAAATTGTGTGCTGCAAAGAAAGCCAAACTACTCATACCAAATTCTCCTGAAAAGGTTTTTTGAATTGAAGTGGCTTTCCCCTAACCTGTCTGTACTATTTGTGCTTTCCGTCATCTGCACCAAAGATGAGAGCTGAGAGCTACAATAACAAGGATGTAACTTTGTTAAGGGAAAGCAGGGGAGGGGGTGACCCCCCCCAAGCTACCGCAATCCTGTTAAATGATGATTGGCATGAGAAAACAAAACAAAACAAAACAGAGCAAGTTTTTCTGCGGTTAGTGGGCTAGTTGCCATATAAGGACCTCCACTCCTGCTCATCAACAATGGAAAAGGAAGATGAGCGTCATTACTGAATTTGGTGGACTGAACAGGTGGGTGACGTTCTCTTGATTAGGTATTATTAAATGCCTACATGAGTTACATGAGTCCCCAGACCATATGATTTCTTAAATCTACTATTATTTGAGGTCAGATTATAACTCCTAGAATTCAATCAACGTCACATAAATGACAGAGAACCTTATGCTTCATGTTGGGTTCTTTGCTCGTCCAACACAGGGTAGGGGTATAGCTACCATGCCTATGACGACCTAAAAAAATATGCCTGTGGCTGTGCCCCAGAATTCAGGAGCTAGATGGTGATCTTCCCGAGAATGAAGACCATTATTGACAAGGTTGATTCTTATTTTCACTCACTCAGTTTTTAGGAAATCCTGACATGCTCGTGGCTACAGGAGACAGAAGAAAGCTGAGATCACTGCTCCTGTTTAATATGGACCCCCCCCCCCCCCCCCCCCCCCTTGAATACACAGCACCTCCCGCCCAGTTAGTCTACCTCATCTGGAATACATCATGTGTTCAAACATTCAAAGGAAGCAAACCTCTAACTGGAAATACCGGCTTGGACTTGGGGGCCCCTTGTTTCTTCTCTATTTCAAGAATCTCAGAAACGTGAAGCTTTCTCCAAGGCTCAAGTGTAAGCTGAGTCTCTTAAACTATCAATGAATTTCAAAGACAGGGAAAGCAACCATTCCGAGAGTAAAAATGAAGCCTTTGGGATTTCAATTGTTCAGGTTCAGACCTAGAGGAACACCACTCGGTAAAGCCTGTGGACTATGATGAAGAGAACAGCCATTTTGTCTCCCCTAGCTCCTGTGTGGGTCAGGCTATCTTTGGACTGACACCAGAGCTTTCCCTGCGCGATCACTTCGGTGGCCATCTCTCCCGTGCCCTTCTCACAGCTGAATCAAAGTGTCATTTTAGCCGTCATTACAAAAGTGCAGTCAAAACAAGGCAAAGGGGAATTCTGTTTTCCCTTGCTCCTGGGGCTATTAATGAGTTCTTCCTGGCCTCTTCTGGCAATTCTCTACCTCTCCCCTTATCTTTTTCCTATCCAGAGAGGAGGGACTCAAGCTAAGGGAGCCCAAGAAGAGCAATGGGGGTGGGGGGAAGTGGAGAGTGGGTTTCAGGGGAAGGCGGAAGTGCGGCACAACAACAACATTACATTCTTGGCAGGAAGGGTGTTTGTTTTAAAGGCCCTGGGCTTGGGTGTTAAAAGTTGGGTTGACTAACAGCCTAGACGAAGTGCTCTCCGAGGTACTGAACAGAACACTTCTTGGGGTTCCCGCACCCCTCAGGGACAAAACAAAACTAGTCAATGTGGAGATAGATAACCTTAGCTCTTCAAGGGTTCCAGATCAGCTGGTTCCAAAACTGGGAGGCAGCGTGCCCTGGGGTCAACGTTTTGGAAGCGCCAGGTCACTTAAAGTCAACAAACGCTGCTGCTGCGCATCTTCCAGCGCCAAGTGACGGCTAGGGGTCTGAGAGGCTGGCCGCGGGGGTTCAGCCCAAGCCATCCCTCACCGCGAATTGAATTCAACTCACCAGGAAGTTGAGGTCGCCGGGGCGCACCAGGCGGTAGCTGCATTTGGCGCAGTCCTGGCTGCATTCCGACTGCACGGTAGCCAGGAAGCAGGACCCAAGCGCCAGCAGCCAGGTGCAAAGTGTCAGGAACCGCGCCATGGGCTGTAGGAAAGAAGGACGCACGTGTGGGGACCCGTCCCTCCTCTGAAAAGGTTCTCCCAGAGAGAACCTTGCTGGGTGGGAGGTCGTCGAGGAAGACCCGCAGGGACCGTTCTCTCTGAGCCCCTCCCACAACCCAACCTTTCCCCGGGTGGGGTGACTCAGGGACGGCAGGTTCCCCGTGCCCTCCTGGAGGCATCCCGTCTTTCCCGGGGAGTCCTGCCCTCCCGTTGGCATCCTGTCCTTCGGAGGGCGTCCTGTCTTCCCCTGGGGCATCCTGTCTCCCCCGGTGCGTCGGTTGCATAGGGCAAGATTCTGGCGCGAACACTGGAACTCACGGCTGGAGAGCGGGGGCTTTGGGGAGTAGGAGCCGGACGCCCCTGGCAATGGGGAACGTCGAGAAGGCCGGGCGAAGGCGTGCAAGGAGGGGACGGGCGACTTGGGGCAAAGCCACTCACTCGGCCGCTGTCCTGATGGAGCAGGCTGCTGGAAGAGCTGTTCCCCTGGCTGGCACTCTGCAAGAGAGAGAGAGAGAGAGAGAAGGCAAGTGTGGGGAGCTGGGCAGGGCCCCGGGGCAGCTCGGGACCTCGCCGTCGCTGGGCTGCAGGGCTAGGGGGCGCCTGCCTCGCTCTCCGGAGCTGCTGGTGGCGGCCACGGGCACTTTATAATTAGCCCCCGAACCGAAGGAGGCGCGCGCGCCCCAATCGCCGGCGGGCTGCAGCTGACGCAGGCCCTACGCCAGCCCTCGCCGACGCCCGGCGGGAGGGGAGGGGACGTCCCCGCAGCACGAGGTCCCCCCCCCCCCCAAGGTGGCGGGTGCGAGTGGGCGCCGGAGGCTCCCCTCTCCTCCCCACCGCTCAGGGAGGAACTGAGGGGCGGGGGACGCGGAGGGCAAACTGCGTTCCCTGTGTGATTCACTTTGGTGGCACCGTGGGTGGGCGCGTTGGGAAGGGCAGAGGGAGGACTTTGGGTTTTGGGGAAGAAGTTGGACACCCTCGGATTGGGTGAATCTGACCGGTCCCCTCACCTCCTCTTCAGGCGGACTGCAGGCATCCTGCACAAGTCTCTGAAAGTCGTAAAATTTCACCCATCTGCCCCGACTCTCTTGCTGTCTAATAGCACACAGTAGGCACTCAGTTAATGGTTATACGGAAATCAGCCATTGAAACGTCCTGGAGACCTTACAGGTCCTCCTTTGGATCAGTGAGATCTCCAGCTACAGAAGCAGTGGCTCCAGTGCAGAAAACCAAACACCCCGCCCCAAACAAACAACCCCCCAAACCAAAACTAACCGACCAATCAACCAACCAACCAAACAAACAAACAAAAAAACACAACAACAACAACAAAACAGGTTGTGGGAAACTTGTCCTCCAGGTCCGCAGGAGGGATCACTCCCTGGCTACCTAGGAGGCTTTTGGCCTCAGCCTTTCTGTCCCCAGCGTGCTGAACAAGACTATTATGAGGGGATGTGTTTGTTGAATAAGGGGTGGGGGTGTCGGAGAGGTGTGATGTCAGTATGTCAGGAGCATGGTGTGGAGGTAACAATGAGGAAAGTTGTCCTGGACACCGTGGTCCGGGTCTTGCACGTTTTGTCCGCCGTGACACCGCAAGAGAGGCCCGGGGGGCAGAAGGGGAGGCTGGCACTTGCAGCGTAGTCCTCGCCCCCATTACCGCCCCCCCGCCCCCAACTTCCCGGGTCTGTAGATGGTCAGGAAGCTTAGATCTTACGTCGTCTATTGTCAAAGCCTCGGACTTTTTTTTTTTTTTCTTTTTCTTTTTTAAAGCAGCCGAGGTAAGAAGCTGTTATGTCAGCCCTCGAGCGGGGAGGCACGGCGTAGGACAGAATCATCTGGAATAATGGATAAAATCACTTAACCTGTCTGGCCTCAGAAGCTGTTTTTAACCATTCATCGTCTCTCTTCTTTGGATCCATTACCGGGTCTATCTCGCCTCTCACTCTCTTAATTTTCCCTTTGCTTGCGTCTATCTCCCTCGTCCTACGAGTCTATTACAAACAGTTCGAGATTCATCAAGAGAGGGTCTCAAGGCTTTCCCGGCTCCTGCCTCCTCGCAGATCCGGAGAGGCGCAATCTGAACTGCGTCTCCTCTATTTTGGTCGCTAGAGGGCAGCGCTCTCCTGCGTTGGTAGAGCACACCAAGGCTGCTGCGGTTCCTGCAGGACTCAGGGCGGGTTTTCCCACCTCGTGGCTAGGGAAAGTCTTGTACCTCGACCAGGAAAGCAGAGAGCTTGTGCAGTACAGGACAGTTTTGTCTTTTTTCTATTTTTTAGACCCTTTCCACTAGGGTTTTGATGACTTTTGTCTTTTCCTGCTTCTTCTTCCCAATGCAGAAGAATGACTCCACTTAAAGACTTTTTCCTCTCTTAGCCCAGGCATTGTAAAAGAGGCGACTACACTGCGGAACTATGAAACACACTGAACGGTAGTCTTACATAAAATAAAGACGCCTCTCTAAGTCTGGGCATTTGCACATCGGAGATGGCTTTCAAACTTTAAATAGATGTCCCGTGGCAAGTGTGTGTGTGTGTGTGTGTGTGTGTGTGTGTGTGTGTGTGTGTGTG